CCACCCAGGCCCAGGACAGGCAGCCCCAACGGGGCGGGACCGGCACAGCGCTCGGCTGGGGCTGCGCAGGAGGGGAGCAGGGGGTGTTTGCTGGATCTACAGGGGCGGCGAGGAAACCACCACGGACAGGCTGAGCTAGCCAGAGAGCAGCCCCTGAGCAGGAGCGGAGGACAGACCCTGTGGCTAAGCCCAGGCAGTGACGGTGGGATGGCCCAGTGGCTAGGGCTGGCACTGGGGAGCCCAGCTGTCTGCGTGATCTTGGGCTAGGCAGAGGCTGCTGGGGATGCGGAGCCGTGGGTTCTAGGCCTGGCACGGGCAGTGAGGGGCTGGTCGGAGAGAGGCTAAGGAAGCTCACGGAAGCACACCGATCTGGCGCAGGTAGCTGGGGGCCTACAGCAAAGAAGCACAGGGCTGGCTTGCTGGGCTGCTGTGAATCCAGCCTGGGCAGGGAAGAGCCACAAACAGTGCAGCATGGGCCAGCAGGCCAAGCGCCCATCCTGGACCTGCGCTGGGCTCCTGTCCCCAGTGCGGATACCAGCACAGGGCTGTCTGGGTTCCAGGCCTGGCACGGGCAGTGAGGGGCTGGTCGGAGAGAGGCTAAGGAAGCACACCGATCTGGCGCAGGTAGCTGGGGGCCTACAGCAAAGAAGCAAACGGCTGGCTTGCTGGGCTGCTGTGAATCCAGCCTGGGCAGGGAAGAGCCACAAACAGTGCAGCATGGGCCAGCAGGCCAAGCGCCCATCCTGGACCTGCGCTGGGCTCCTGTCCCCAGTGCGGATACCAGCACAGGTATGTCTTCACTGGGGTGTTACTAGCACTAGCTGGTTGCAGCCAGCTTGTGGGCGTCTGCCCTGTACTCCCCCCAGAAAGGCCGTGTAGCTGGGGGGCTAACCATCGGCTCTGCCATCGTGCGGCCTGCCACATGACGTGGTCGCCCTTGGCTTCTTTGTAATATGGACGGGCAAAGACTGTCGGGCCTTCTTGTGCTGGGGCTGCACCTCCATCCCTAGAGGGGTTTAAGTCTCGGCTTGACACAGCCCTGGGTGGGTTGATTTAGTTGGGATTGGTCCTGCCTAGAGCAGGGGGCTGGACTTGATGACTCCTGAGGTCTCTTCCAGCTCTATGGTTCTATGATAAGCACCAGGGTGCAGGGGGCACCATCCGCTCCTCTGTAGCGGGTTGGGGGGGATCTCTGGTTCTCCTGCTACCCCCACCTCCGAGTGGGAGATGGTCACAACAGCCAGTAGCCTGGAGAGCTCTGAGCGCCGGCAGAGCCCCGCGTGTGCAGTGCACCGTGGCTGCTCACGGCTCCGCCAGGAAGGCAGAGCTGCTAATCCGGGGCTGTGTCATGTGGGAATGTGGCGCCTGCAGGCTCCGGTGAAAGGAGCGTGCCCCGCCCGGGTGGCTCTGACCTCCCCCGGCTTCCTGGGTGCTGGGCGAGACGTTTGGTCTTTGGTGGCTCCTGTGCACCTCGGGAAGGGCTCTGGGCCCCTGCCACAGACACCGTGGCGCCTGCAGCAGGAGAGGCCATTGAAGCGCCTGCTGCCAGGGTTGGGGCGAGGAGCGGGGTGGCGGCTGCGTGTTGTTCCTTGTCACACCCACACAGAGTCCAGGGCCCGAGTCAGCCCTGGGCGTTTCAGTTCCTCTCTGGCCACTGGTGCTGATGAGAAGCCCAACCCAGCCTGCAAGCCCTTGGACACCAAACACTGGTCGCCAGCCCCAGGCTCTGGGGGCTACCGGGTGTGAATGGCAGGGCCTGACAGCAGCCAGGATCTAGGCACTGCCAAGCTGCCCAGTGCCAGGCTCCAAACAGCCCAGCTCCTGGCTCCACTAACACCCAGCACCAGCAGCGGTGGAGAAAGGTGCAAGAAATCCGCTAGGGCAGTTCCCGACCAACCTGCCCCCAGTCAGGTGCTGGTGGGTAGCAGGAGGGGTTCTGGATCCTCTCTCGCTTTCCTTTTCCCCTCGGAGCATGGCCTGGCCCCAGGCTACACCCGCTAACCCACCCCTTGTAGGCAACATGGAACGGCTCAGGCAAACACCCTACCCCCCTCAGCCTGCCCTCTTTCCGACACCCGCCTGCCTGGTGGGACGAAGGGAACTGCCTCCGCCGGTACCACCGCGTGAGGTGTGTCTCCGCACACAGCCTGGCAGGACTGGTGCAGTCACCCTCAGCCCTGGCTTGCCGGTAGCGCTGCACCTGCAGCCCCACACCCAGCGACCGTTGCTCTCTCTGGCTTGAAAGCAGTAGCAGAGGCCTGGAGCTCCCTCGCCTGTGGCAGCAGGGGCTGTTGTTTCTCCGGCGCCGTGGACAGCCCCTCGGAGGCACTGGGCTGGCCCCAAACCTGTTTCAGGCCCTCCCTTCAGGGCACTATTTCTGGATTACCCAGGAACTCCGGCAAAATCCTGTTCCTCTGCCTGGCAAGGGATACAGCTCCCACAACCTCCCTCCCCAGCCCAGTGCGCAGCCCCAGGGACTCCCATACGACCCTTTCACCTTCCTGCAGCTCCCTCCCCTGCCCTGCGTCCCGGGGCATCCCCAGAGACCCATCTGCTCTGAGCACAGCACTTCCAGCACAAGGCGGCAGGCCACCAGCCACTCTCCCGATCCAGGGCGC